AGCATAGCAAAGGTTTCAGATCAGAGAAAGTACATAAACACATCGTCACTTTTATTATGGAATTAGAATTATTTCTCTTAAAAATCTACATATTCCAACTGGACTGAGAGACTCAAAAATTTCATTGGACTAGAAGACTCAAAAAGTAAGTGAGAAATTGGAGAGTTTCCTACTCTGTACTTGACCTTCAAAGTGCAACTCTCTCAACAAGTATTTCAATATCAAGTGTCCGTTAAATTACTAGCAATATAAACTGTTAAATAAACTTAAGGTGATTCCTCAGGAAAAAAGTTATCGAACAATTTTGTTTAGACTTTCCTTAAATATTCCCTACCAATGTCTGTTTCGAAATTATACAATTAAAAACATAGTGTCCCCTGGCTTATTCAAGTGGAAAACTTGTGGAAAAATCACAGATTTTAGACGACATCGACTCAAAGCGCTCCTGAAGTCGTTTGTGTAAGGTTATAGTTTGCATCATCGCGTGACGGGCTTCTTGAACGCTTTTAGCTCTGTCTTATTTCCCCTGATGATTTTAATTTTTATTTCCCCAATTTAAAGGAGATAATTTTGTACACAAAATTATGCAATAAAAAAAATATAGGTCACCGTTCTCGTTCAAGAGCTAAAGACCAGCGTACCTCTTTACTTGGTCTATCGATTGAAAAACAATACTGTATTCTCAGAATGCGTGCGCGCTTAATCGTCTGATTACGTGATTTTTAAACGCGGTACAGGATGCGCAGTGCAATACTGAGGAATCACCTTAAGTGCTTTAACACAAAATAAATAACGATAGTACATACTAGCGAGTCACATGTTGACCCTTTTTTAGAAAACAAAACAAATAGCCATACTGATATAAAGATGAATCTTTTCTACGCAAAAATGAAGCTAACAATAACGCAAGAGTTCCATACAAACTCCAAAGGTGCTAAGGCACCGCTTCTACTTTTGCCGTTTGCTTTTCTACCCCACTACAAAGGCAATTTTAATTTGTCGCAAAAACGACTTAAATCATAAAGCTCCTTTAACGACAGGCACTCGTACGCTGTCCACATAAAAAGACAGTTTTAAATTGCCCCACCACATACTCACTTCAACTGAGAAAACTGAATGCCTAAATCCATCTTGTAAAAGATCGCAACACAATATTCGTGCAACAGCTCAGCTACCAATTCACTAAATTCTGTTCTAAGTCCTCCAAATAAGGCATGATGTCCACCTCTCTCACTAAATATCGTTCCAAAATAGTTGAAAAAGTCATGTTTTTAGCAGCCTCTAAGTAACTTTTACGCTTTCCTCTTTCACGCCCCCACCATCCACGTGAGAGTTCGCTAACTGGCTACATCTTTAACTACTGAGATTATTTTTTTAATTACATTAAGAAATATCTATCTATTCTTTATATTGACATCTACACTAATTATGAAATTACGCCACTTAGCTTGTACAAAACCTTAATAAATGTTGATCGAGAGCCAATTCCTAATCAACTGACGTTATCTTACTAAATTATATCATCTGACTACGAAAAGTGATTTAATATACAACTTAAATTTTTATCTCCTCGAGGATCTTAAAGTCCGGCCAGAATGCATTTAACTTAAACTCGTTTTTCTGAAATTCTTTCAAAAGGCTAATGAAATCGTCAAAGTCCTTTGGACATTTTGAAATTCTTGTTGTATTAAACATGATCTTTTCACCTATCATTGACGTTACTTGAACCGAAATAAACAACGATTTTCTCAAAAATTAAGTGCAAAATCCACGTTCTTTGCAATGGCACGGCAATGTTAAAAAGTTGAACTTTAAAATTAGTTTGGGCTTTTTACTGACACTCCGTGGTAGACTTAAACTTCGTACATAATACTAGACTACTGTAGTGTAGTTGATGACGTCAGCCCCATTGTGGCCATCGAATTAAATCATCGACCGCATGATCATGTAAGTGTCACGAACTTCATTTGCTGCCGGACCAATACATTGTACCATTTTTACTCACAAGGAAAGAAGACTCGTTGAGCATAAGTAATCTGACTTCGACATAATGGGCACTCTTTACACATGGATGAACACTCCACACAACAAACCACATGGCCGCAGGGGCAGAAGGCAGTCGCAACCTCACTATCCATGCAGATCTGGCAGATTCTGGCATCCTGTAGGTGTCGCACCATAACCTTGAGTTGATCTGGAGTCATGTTCTCCATGGACTCTCTCTCAACAAAGGCTCTCCGGCATTCACCCCTTGATGGTCCTGCTTCATCATATCTCTTGGTGCTGTAAAATCTCCGTTGAGAGAGAGGGGACTGGACTGGGCGGTACTCCGCTGACCCAGGAGATGAACGCAAACTTCCAGAGGTGGAACTTGCCATGTCAATCATGCGGCACGAATTGAGTTCACCCCACGCGTGACTGTAGGCTTGGCGACGCGTGCGCTGCACGTCGAACAGGAAAATCCTACCAAACTCATTACGCGGTACAAACATGGAAAACAGCCGACCAGCTAGAGTCCTTGTACACTGATCAATAACGGATCGTTTGACAGTGTTGCACTGGTAAAACGTATGGAACTCCGTAAAAGTCCGGAATAAAGCTACGGCATCGCTTTCGCACTTCATCTTGTAAGTGTCTCGCTGCGCCTGAGGTCCAGTTCCCCCGTGGACAACAGTAAATGAGCGATTGTTGTAGGATACAGTGGAGACATCTTCAAACGAAACCCTGCAACACATGTCAAACGACACGCACAATTTTATTAAACATCTGTATCATTCACCGGCTTTACCAATTTGTCATATCTTCTTTGTGCCCTGAGAGACTTCGCCCTTAGGCCAAACCTTACTCACTTTACTACGCTAATCGTGTATATTGTTCAACAGTTTCCATTGTTCCGTTTGTTCCCTTTTTCGTTAACACGGTGAAGAATCCCACGAGTTTACAGTTTAACAATTACACAGACAACATAGGATGTGAAAATGAATAGTATAAATATTCATATATCTAGGAAAACTCGGGAACAGTTTTCCTAAACGTCAAAAAACGCTAACGGATAACACCTGTTATAAGGGTTCTAAAATGCCTTCAACCCACACAGGAAGACGAACCTTTTCTAGTAGAAAAATATTTTAAGAACAACAAATAAGGAAAAACAATAAATTCCCATCTGTTTTTTTATTTCAAGAGGAGGTTCTTAGAGGCAAAAGACATGATATTTTGAGTCTTCGATTGCGACATCAGAATTTAATATTTTAACGTGAGAAAAACCACACAATATTGCTTTGGAAAATCTAAAACAACAAAATAAAAGAAAAAACGGTAAACAAAGATAATGGACGGAGTAGAAGATTGAGACGATGACAATAAGAAACTAGAACACAATATGGAACACTTTTTCTTTTTTATTTCCCTAATCATGGACATTTGATGGTAAATCTGTAAAGCCATGGTCTATAACCATTGCACCTGTCGTCTTAAATTTATAATTTCTGCAGAACTATATTCATTTCGCAGCACAAATGCAACGAATCAAACGGGAGTCACCAATCTTTCCTCTTCCTGCCAATATCCAAAATTACATTCCCCCAAGTAACCGCGAGGCCCATTTCTACAAGTGCAAAAAGGTTAAAACCTTCTTGGCCATAGGACACGAAATAAAGCGAGTGCAACATGAACTGTTATATCTCGTCTACACTAATCCACTTAAATCTTCTGGATTGGTGGACTCGGGTCTCCTCTCTTTCCTGTTGTATTTAATATGTCTAATGTAAGTCTGGTAAACTTTACACGAACCAAAACGGCTAAAAAGTATTTAAAATATGGACCAACTCGGTATGTACCAAACCTTTCTGAAACGGGCTAAAAAGTTCAACACAGGCTTGTCATTTTGGTGCAAACGACGGAGGGAGCTTTTAGGAAACGATGACATCACATCCGTCAAAAGAGTAAAAACGGAAAATAGCGTTTTCTAATTTATTCGTTTTGGTTCACAAGAAGTTACTCTGATGGCGTTTCCGAGTCTAATCGGAGAACTATGGTCAGCAAAAATGAAGGTGAGGGGATTAAGACTGAACGTTTTAACTGGGCATTCGCACTTCAAAACGGGTCTTTTCACTAAGGGGGCACCGGGCCTTGCTAAAAACGACAGATGACTAACAACAGAGACAAGATCACTCTTGGAAGACATTTGCAATCAGTGATCGCGAGGCATGCCAGCCGCACACCACAGTTTACAAATGAACGGATATTGAGCAGCGAAGGGAGAGTTATAACAAAATACCGCGGGTGCGCGCAATGACAGCCATGCTACATCAAGCAGCTGTGTTGAAATATTATTATTATGAAGGCAAACAACGTTAGAGTGTGTCAAAACAATCGCTTGCGAAAATAGAACAAAAATTTATGTAAGTAAAATTTTAAAAAAAAAGCTGTGATTAATAAAACTCTCAACGTTATTATTTACTTGCAGTTGATTTGACTAGTAGTTCGAAGGAGAAATTTTAATATCAGAGATGTAATCTGAGTCCGCTTCACTCATATTTATTTGCAGAAATTGCATCTGCTTGTATAACGACACAGTTACTACTGTATGTCAACATCTTGTCGCAGTTGTTTTTTCTGAAGTCGAACTGTGCTATCGAATATCTGACATCCTGCTATTCTGTTCTGTTGAGAATTCTTTTCCTTGTTGTGTCGTCGTTGAAATTGTGTATTTTACTGAATGAGCTGCCGCAGAGAAGACAGAAACGCATTTAAATTAAATATATTGAAAGAGGAACAAATTTTTAGCGGACAATCTTGTGTTCTAAATTCCACAAAGCTATGTAAAAGTTGCTTTATTCAGAAAGCCTCAATACAAAAGAGGAAAACGGGTAGAATATCCCCATTAATGAAAAAGTCCTGTTTGCGGTTTTGACTTGAGAAATAAATTATGCAAGAAAAGTAATATCCCTTCCCTGCACCGCCAGTCGGCAAGCGCGGAATAAACACTTGAACATTTCACTTATATTTCACAACATGACTTTGAATCTCTACTCAGGTAGGAAATCGAAATTGGACTCAATCATTACAGCCGCGAGATTTCGAAAAGTAAACCATGTCGAGAAACAGCCAGAAAATATTCCGAAATATATTCATGTCTCGATTACTTTCGACGAATATGGAAGTAAATCCTCACTTGTTACGATAAAAATTCTGTTTAGGGAGAAGTTTTGGTCTAGAGGATATCTCCCTGTTAAAATGGGGGAGATTTTGCATTTACTTTAAGCAAAGATAAAAAAAAAAAAAAAAAATAAAGCAAGTAATAATTTCAACCGAAAGGTTAATTTCTTCAACTTGAAGACATTAAAATTTTCCTGTGATAATTATCCGCAATCCCCAGAAAAATAATACGTGATAGGCAGTTAAGGGCAACATTAAAGCTGTTGTTAACAATACTTCTGCTCCGACTTGAAACTTATGACGCTTTTGTTAGAGGTTAGAATTAACTGAAAAAAGGCAAGTTATATCGAAACCAGTTTCGCACACATGTTTCTATATCAAACGAATTCTACACAACAAAGAGAAAAGCTTACCTTTTTTCGAGAATTCTCCTCGTAACGTCTTTTCCTTGTTTCAGATCGAATTCATGGTTAATGCTGAAGACACGTATACCATCGTTTCCAACGTGAATTTCTACCTTCTTGAGCGTTTTATCGTCGCTCAATCTTCCGTGAAATAACTCAATCCCGTAGCCGTGAATACTGCAAGCTATGTGCAAGAATTCAATTTTTGACTCGCTGACGGGAACGCCGACTAACTTGCTGTGTTCAATTGCTGCATCCTTTTGAAGGTTGGAGGTTTTGGCGTAGTCATTATAAACAGAAATGGGAATATACGATGAATATTTTGCCACCCGCTCCTGGCTGAAATCTCCGCTCTCTATATGAGCAACCAAAGCGCATAATCGGGCAATAGTTTTCGTTTGAACGGAAGACAAATCTAACTTTCCTTCGTTTATAAAGTTCTTTAAAGTAAGATAATACTGGTGTCTGAAAGTGAAAGAAAATCATATTTCAGTTATAGCGATAAACAGACGAAAATGACAGAATACATATTTTTCCGATAAAATAATTACAGGACAAACACCATCCGAGCTAAGAGTATTTATTTCAGCACGGTTTATTCGACAGGTACCCAATGCAAAATATGCATCAAATTTTCACCAGGTTTGCTTACCGTGTAATTTCTTGCTGAAGTTCTTGTGGTTTGACGAAAAATTTTACCAAGAAATGCAGTCGATACGGTGGTTTCCCAGTGAGCTGCGATGACATAGAATTTCTCAAATTCAGCCAAAACTGTGTTCCTTTCGCGCCACCGAATTTCAAACCAAAATAGTCTCTTTCGACGAGTTTTAGCTTTTCGCAAACCTGCGAAGATTGAAAACAATAAAATAATTACCAGACTAGTGTAAGGGAAGCGAATGATTAAAAAGAGAGCGAAAAATTCAACGCGTGTACAGGTGTCTTGGGAATATTCATGGGAGTTTGAGTCGCTGAGTTGTAATTCCTCACCTTCTCTAAACAATCTTGTCCTACTGCATTCTTCGGAAGGAATATTTCGTGAATTATCCCGTTTGGCTCCGAAATAAAACACCACATTTTCTTCCCTATGTCTTAACTTCCTTTAGAACGAGTATAAAGGTTGTGTCAGCCTCTGTGGCTCGTCTTTTTCTGAAGGTTTTATTCTCTCCATTCACCGGATATTCATCACAAAGAAAAGCGACAGAATAACAGCTGAACGAAAAGACTTTGTGTATTGATTGCGAGCCAATCAGAAGCGTAGAACCGCACAAGTCGCTTCATTTGCATAAATTAGCAAAATTGATTACATATAAATTATTGATAACGCGTTGTCATTGGATACATCAACCTTTTCCTTCTTGGCAAGTAAATGTAGACTATATTTTTCGTTTATTGCTCGCTGGACGCTTTACCGTTTTGCTATTAGTTTGAAATTCCCATTTTAAGGAGGTCGTTGGCATCTTGTCGAATGTCAAAACATTGGTAGCGAAAAGACAACTTCCCTGGGCTACACTGGGCCACACAAGTATTCAGGAATATCATTTACCAGCTGTACTGTTATTTGACATCAACGTAGGCTTCATTTGCTATTTACAGCTAGCCTGGATATAAATAACAATCCAGCTCTTTAATTATAGCGTGCGAATCACTTAAGCTTGTCTTTTTGTTTGTTTTTTTTTTTTTTCACAGCACCTGTTGATTCAAGCTTGAGGATAAACTACACTTTGCTACAAGATCCCTTTTTCATACACGCAACTTAACGTGCATGACACGAGATCATTTGACTGGATTATCACCTAGAATTTTTTATGGTCATGCAAGCTTAGGAACGAATAAAAATTTGAACGTTTCCTGTTAAAATTATTCTCAGTAGAAAAAAAAAATATATATATTTTGTGGTTTTTTTTTTTGACACCCCGTGGACTGTTTCAAGAGACTAAATTCCGGTTCTCGTTGATAGTGGAATGCGTGAGTATTTTTTAGCTATTCGAAGATGTTGCTGTGTGCGATTATTTATCGCTGTGACAAGCATGAAAAAGGAGGTCGGCGCCATGCTGAATGCGTATGTCAATGAAAGGAGCACGAGCTTAAAAAAAAAAAATCTCAAAAAATGGCCTCTACACCTCTGCACGTTGATTGAAAGAAACTTTTAAAACATTTTACTAGGATCGTGTCAAGCAGCCAGTTAACGTTTCTGATACTTTTCGAGTATTAGAGGAAAATCTTAAACTTGAGATCTGTTTTCGGATCGAAATAATGATAACTATTATTTGCTGCTATGGGCGAGACGGTTAAATTTTAATTCTATCCGACTTTGAGCTACGGGATAAATAATTAAGGACAAAACAGCGAAGTGCTTTGTGAGTAGGAATAATTAAAAAGTTTCATCAGCTAAGCCGAGCTTGATAAAAGTTATATCCATGCCCAAGGTTTGAAGTGGTATATACATTTTTTTAAGGGATTCTTCAATCAACAAGTGTCCTAATCACTCAAGTGTTGAAATTTGCTATTCATGAACAAAAATCGAAATCGAAAACGTTTTTTTCTGTTTCTTTCATGTTTCTCTTTGTTTCAGTCTGGTATTAAAAGACAAAGGTTTTCCTTTCCTAAGGTGAACAAAAGCAGTCAACCACCTACAGGGATTTTCCAAGCATATTAGATTTTTGAATAGCCAGATAACGAGATACCTGTAAGGCGTCATCTTCATCGTTCATAGAACCCCTTTTTTGTTTCTTTACGCTATTCAGTCTATTCAAGCTATTTCTGCTAAAGAAATAAAAAATATTAACAATCCGTAGGGGTTACTAAAGCCATTTACATTTTGTTTAGATTTGGCACGGAGAGCATGATCTGAAGGATGTCACCACAATATACCAAAGGTATACACTGATACATTATCTACCGCAATGGAGGCCGAAAATTGAAGCCAAAAGATTTGAACGTTAACATGGACGAAAAAAGTCGTATCAATTATTGAAAAAGCATCCTTTATAGAGTAATTTTATCGATTTCCATATCGCCAAATGTTGTTTTGGTCGACGAAATATGATTTGACATTTAAACGGACTTGCAGACGCTGTCAGTAACACCGGCCACACCCCCGGGTATAATATAATCGGTAATTAAGTTTGCTCTCAGATCGTAGAAATTTTCATCGTATTTTTTTAGCTTTACTCTGTCTGGTTGGGGAAGTTATTTCCCTCTGATTAAATACAAGAGCTTAACGATGAGCTAATTTCACAACGTAGAGAGAGGACGAGGGAAGGTTGTTAAAAGAGGGAAAAAATGACAAAAATTTATTTTTAGATATTAAAATAGTATCAGGCTTATCATTTCCCCTATGATAAATTTCCTTGAGTGACAGCACAGTGATGGTTTCATTTGCTTAAACACAAGATTCAATTATGGGATTCTAACTGAACTTTGCAAAGAAATTATGGTTAAAATCAGGAGCCCTGTTAAAATTCAAAATAATTTACCCGATACGATGCAATTACAGTCGTTTGAACTCGCTGCGTCTCCTCGGCGCACAGGTGCCCCAAGTTTGGTGAAAGTAATCACAACCTTTTAGTCTCAGCACTATGAAGGCCGGAAGATTTATTGATTCGAGGGCGGGGGCCCACGGGCTCCTGTTCGGGGGGTATTTCCAAAGTCCATTCCACTCTAATTATTTCTTGTCTCTATCAAGCGCGCAAGGCTATCTGGGAAAAAACTATCATGGCGTACAGAGACGAGATTGACGATGGGTTTGATGCAGTTGTTTTTCTGGAGGAAAGGTAACCTTAGACTTGTTGGGTACTTTAAAAATCAATTAGAAATAAGGAGAAACTTTTTAAACACTAGATGCTATGAAGAAGGTCATAAGAGAGGCTATCAGGATGGTCTTTTGAAGGGTATGGAAGAAGGACGAGAACTTGGTATGGTGAAAGGAAGCGAAGTTGGAGGCGAGGTGAGTTGAGTGTTGATTCAACCTACTTTGTTTTTATCAGAAATTTATTTTTAATTTGGTGGGAATCTTTTGACAGACGAGGGTTTTGTCTATCTGTTGAGGGGTTCCTGAGTCTTTCCAGTCTTTTATAAACTAGGTTCCAGTTTTTTTTTTCTCGTACGTTTTTTCTTCCCAAACCAGGGAATAGAAAGATTAATAGAAATATAAATCTTCCACGAGCTACTTTTTGAAAAGTTATTTCATAAATTAAGAACATCCAATCAACAAATTGACATCTACGTATTGATTAACTAAATACTGTACTACTTTGAATAAGCGCCGGGACGCTTTTTTTTTTTTAAATTTCAGCTAGATGGGGGGGCACTTATCGGAAGGGAGATGCTTAATCAAGAGGAGTCTATGCTATAAACTATTAACTTGTGCTGATTCTGCTATAGCTGACGCTTAAAAAGTTATAATAAAGTGGCAGTAAAAATAGGTTTTATTTGTATCCCTACTATCTAAGAAAGTGAGGGAGAAGGGGAGGGGGGGTATTTGTTTCAAGAGGGACACCTGTTTGATGTTATGGCCAAGGGGGTGGGTGCTTATTTGGAGGAGGGTGCTTATTTGGAGGAGGGTGCTTGTTAGAGCATCGACTCTTATTCAAGGAATTTACAGTATTCATTAAACCTCATCAAGACAAATCCTGTTATTTTTTGTTTTTGCTGTACCTTGAAAGATTGCTGAAGTTGAGTTGGCTTGTGAACTCATTCATTTACTGTAGTTTTGTTTAATTCATGTTAATTCAATGGCTATTGCTGAAAAGAAGATAACATTGAATACACAAATACAAAACTTAACAGATTTATGGGACTGACCAGTATGATCCCTTTCAGGTTGGATTCTATCTTGGATTTGTCTCTCTCTGGCTTGAAATTTTGAATGAAACTCCTGACCCAAAACAAAGGTATTGATTCACGTAATGGAAGCCTTTAAAAATAATTTTCCTTATTTATAAGAATTTACTGTTTAATGAATCAGTATATACCAAAGTCTTGAATATTTACTACACACAATTAACTACTTGGATGGGTTTGATTAATCAGGGTGGTCCTCTGATTTTATTTGTGAAAGAATTAATTTCAAACAGTTTAAACAGGGCTTTACTGCATCTGTTTTGACGAGTTTGAAAACAGAATTGAACACTATCATTTCTTCTTTAACCCTTTAACTCCCATGAGTGACCAAGACAGAATTTCTCCTTACAATATCAATATAAAATCAAGCAGACAAGTGATGAGAGTAAAGAAAAATATCAATTTGGGGATTATAAGTTGATCCAATACCAAATTCTCTGAACTAACATCACCAAAACTGTATGGCAGACAGTAAGGAGAGTTACTAATGAGATCGTGGGAGTTAAGTACCATAGTAATGTGAAACCCCACCATCTCAACCTTCCAAGGAAAACAAAAAATGGTTTGAGTCAGGGGGGAGGGGGCCAGAGTTGAGGTAGCTGATAATACATGTCTGAAAAAATGGAGTCAAGGGAAATCGGATCTTGTTCTAGTTACTGGGTTCTACTGTACTTGGCAATTTTTTCTTGTGTGAAGTCATTTTGCATTTAACATTTATTACGGATACCAAACAGCCATTTTTTCTTTCTTTTTCTTTTTTAAGGCATATTAAGTTGTTAGAGACATTGAGGGAGATGATCTCTTCTCTCCCAATAAATGATGTCACCAGTGAGGAATTATTTGTTAACCTTGAAAAGATTCGGGCCAAGTATAAACAGGTAGGCACAAGGTGGAGTTACACTGATGAGCTTATGTGCTTGGAAATTCTTAATATGAATGAAGATCATTTTTTCTTTCATCATTCTTCTAAAATATTAGTCATATGGTAAAACGAAAGGGGAATTTTTGTCTTGTGCATGGTTGCATGGTTTGTGTACACAGGAAAGGAAATGCACTCACAACATAGCTTACATTATCATGAAAAGTTGATGTACTGCATTTATTAAAGTGAGGCAAAGAGTCTATTATGTGAGGGTTATGTGACAAACATGGCCTATAGTTTTTCCCTGACTGTATTTTTATCATATCAAAGCCAGACACTTCAAATTTTATGGAACTTCACTTGTTTCTGTACATTTTAGTCATTATTCTTTTTTAAGAAAACTGCAGGTTTATTTTGTGTTAATTGTGTTCAATTTTGTGTCAGCTTTGTTCACTGTTAGGTATTAGCACTGATTATAGTGGTGGTACGTCTGGAGCCTCCTTCTGAGATAAAGCTATTCATTAGTAAAGGCTACTGTGTTGGAACCAGAATTCATTTTCCTGAAAGGTAGATTTGTACAAAGTTCTTACAGTTCATTTCCCCATCTTATGAGTTCTGCTGTATGAAAAGTTTTTAAAAAAACAGAGCAGTGAATATTGCTTCCTGTGCAAAGCGACTGGTTAGTTTGGTGGTTATTAGTAAGTTATTTTCACTTTTGAGCAGAAAAGGATGCCTCATTTATGCAATTTTGGTTAAAAAGCTGTGAGCTTTAGGCCAAAATATATGCTTTAATTTGTTGCTTTGGTTCATACTGAGACAAATTTAGCGCTGTAACTATCTTACACTTTGGTTCATTATTGCTCATGTCATTATACTTATATGATGTGCCGGTAGGAGGACAGATTTCAACTTTTTTTTTTTAAGAGTAGAACAGAGGTAATTCTTGTCATATAAAAACAGGGCCTTAACTGTTTCTGTGATGTTAAGAGGCAATCATTTGTGTTCAAGCATTATTCATAGTGAATTTTTATCTTGCTCTTCTTTACAAAGTACATCTTTCTTAAATTTACACTAGTCGATCATTAGCTTGAACAGCAGTATTTTCACTTCCTTCAATGGAGGGGAGGGCCCTCCCCATCCCTCCCCCTCCTCAGCCCTTGACATGACTTTTACCAAAGATTTGCCTTGCTCTCACTTCTTCATTTGGCTCAAAGGAAATACTGTTGGGCAGAAAATCATTTTTAACAACTTTCTGAAAACAAGCAACATTCATATTATATACACCTGAGTAGTATTTCATGTAAAAGCTTAATAATCCAATCATTAAGCCATACTTACTGTTTGTGCTTGATAAATGGTGATCATTTAGTCTTGTAAACAACAGCTACTGCAAATTCTGGTGCCCATAGCCAGGTTATGTTAGATGCAAGGTGGAATATACCATGCTATGGATATGGATAAGAAACAGCTTGGAATTTTGATTTTTAGTATTATCAGCAAGGAACCTACCTATTGTTGGAGATAAGTATGTTTTTAATATGACCACAAATGGTATTTTTAAAATATTATAAAAAATTATTTTATTAAGGGCCATATGTGATGGCTGTCCTTGGTCTGCATGTTGTGGCCTTGAACCAGATATTTTCTCTCCCACTTAATCAATGAATGTGGTAGACAACTCTTCTCAATTTACAATAGAAATTACAACTTTTGAAATGGGGGAAATTGCTGAGGGAAACACATCAGATATTGTATTATTCCTTTACTACCCTATTTTACCACACTAGGGCAATGGAACATGCAAATATGCCACAGTATTACACTGCATCAGGTTTTTTTTGTTGGTCATAGAAAACACTTCAAGGGTTTGACTTGTGTTGTTTCCATCTTAGTCTGTCTTTCATGCAGGCCATATTTGATTAATACTATCACAGGTGTCCCAAGCTCAAATCTCAAGAAAAAGCAAATGATTAATTCATGAAAGCCTCATGCATTGTGTGACTCAGTTTTAAGTTACGATAGGAACCATTGAGAATTTGAACATGTTATAAGGAATAGTACGGGGAACAAAATATGGTCAATTTACAACAATAAATATTTCAGAATATGAACATTTTACACGTAAAATCGATAGAATTTACCCTCACCTTGAGTGTCAGTTTTGGTTTCTGGCGTTCTCTGCTGTATTAAGCTTGCTTTGCTATCACTGGTATTCAGAAATACCAGTGAGCTTAAAATGGCAGAGAACGCTGGAAACCACAATGGACACAAATGGTTTCACATATGATAAACACACAGACATTTTAGTCAATGCTTGTACTCTTCCTTACCCCTATGGAGCTCAGTAAAATACTATGCAACTTGAAAAATGTACAATAGCCTTACATAATGTAACGTTCAGACCATACATTTATTTTATGAATGTATTGTTTGTGTTCCCATTTAAATAAAGTGTTTATTTTAATATTAAATTGATTCATCAGAAAAAAATTGACAGTGTTTAGAAAATAGCTGAATGTGAAACTATGTGTGCAGGGTTCAATAATAAAATACAAACTAAAACTTGCACCAATTATTTTTTCTTCTGTCTTGCTTGTCTGTTTTCAATGTCTCTAAAGAGAAGAGGTGGGGATGCAGGCTGCATTTCTACTTTGCCCTTCCTTCTGTTACAATCTCTTTTAATTTTAGGAGGCACCCATGGAATAGGATTGCAGTAACTAGGTGCTGGATATGAACCCCATTCATAATACCCTGTTAACATTCCTCCTGTGTAACCAAAACTGTTGTACACAGGTTTAGGTTTTTCTTTGACTGCTGCAATCCATTTGCTGTAAGCTTCTTCATTGTTCATTTTCCTAGTAACTTCTTGATCCTTTGTTATTCTTGCATGTTCTTCCTCCTTTATTTTTCTCTCATATTCTTTTGTCTTCTTCTCCTGGAGCCAATTGTTGAATTTGATTGCTGCTTTCTCTTGAGTAATACGGTTCATGTTTTCTTTTTTCTTCTCTTCAAGGCGTTCTTCTCTATGTTTTATTCTCCTCTCCTCTGTAAAAGACTTATTTTTGATTTCCAGCCATTCGACATATTTCTCACTTGCAACTCTCAAAAGTTCTTCCCTTTCTCTCTCCTTTTTCTCTTTTTCCTCTCGCGCCTTCTTCTTTTCAAGTCTTCTCGCCTTCATTTTTTCACGATCTTCTGCAGCCTTTTTAATTAGCCAGGTTTCCCACGGAGAAAGACAGTTTCCTTGGTTCTCAACTGTCTTTGAGATATTTGTTTTGCTGTCTTTGGCATTTGATCTCGGAGCTGAGTTTGTGCATTTACTAGCGGATTTTTTCAATCCTGAAAATGATGAACTAGTCGGGGGAGTGTAGCTTCTTGATACTTTGGTCTTGCTCTTAGGAGTGCTGGTTGTTCCTCCAAATTCAAAGCTGTAGTCCTTTTCGTGGTCTGTTTCGTCGTCATCGCTCAAGGAACCCCCGGATAGCTCCGGTTCTTCAAATCGACCTGAATTGCCATACACTGGAGTTAGCAAAGACCGAGTCGACTCACCAAGGGAATCATCTGAGAATGTATCTCCCTCTAGTCCTTTATGCATTTTTCTTGGTTATCACTGTAATCTTTCTGTGTAAGTTTTGTTCGCCCTAACAACAACGGTCATTAAGCCGCCATTTTGATAAAAGTCGCGGGGAGACTAAGACGAGTGATTCGAAAGAGTTCAAATGGTGAAAGAGAAGGTGATGAAATGTACTTTGGACAACTTTGGAGCTGATTGAGAGGAACCTGCTGGTCAAGATGGTTATTCATTACTTTCTAGCAAGAGCTTCCTTCGCTGTTTTTTCGTGTCTGGTTATTGTAAGAAACGGTCTGAAGAAACAATCACTCGATTTCTCGGGTGCCTTCGCTGCTGTTATAGTTGGGTTTATATTGACTCTGAGCAACTTGTGTTTCTTCGCCTCCTGCATAACCTTTTTCCTAACGAGCTCTAAATTAACGAAGTTTAAATCGGACGTGAAGGAAAAAATCGAAGACGATTTCAAAAAAGGTTTGTCTTCATAATGCTAATTTTGTTTTAAAAAGCTAGATCAGGATTGACCTGTATTGTGATCAATTCGATCCGACCTTAATGTATGTAAACAAAGACGATAAAGCACAAGTAAGCGAATCATTGATCTAGATATCCATGCAATGCCCATTTAAGTTTTGCCATTCTGGAAAAACACAGTGCTGCATGATCTACTTCATCTTTAAGAGGTAGAACTAGAGATAGAAGTTATTTGTAGCAAAATGCCACAGAACTTTAAAATTGGTACCTGTTCCACATGGCATCATGTAAGGAGGAAGTGGCTAATTAAACCATTAAAAAAACTAAAATGCATGTTTTGCGTGCAGTTCCCGCCATTGTGATGTTATCTGTTGATATGAATAATCCTGAGTATTAATTGATCTTTTAAAATGGTTGAACGCTATGACCCAATCGAGAGAGAAGCAAATCTTCAGTGTGATTGTTGTCAAAATTTCTTCGGAAGCATGTTTCTTACGATTGAGGTAACTTACTAGATTGTTTTCTACTCTGTCAATTTAATTCAGTTTTATCCATTTTGTTTTATAGGAGGCCAAAGGAATTGGATTCAAGTCTTTTGTAATGGTGGCATCCCAACATTACTGGCTCTATTTTACATGATCGATGTTGGTATTGGCGAACATGCGATTGATTATGCAAAGGATTTTACTGCATCAGTGCTTTCGGTTTCTGTGCTTGGATCATTCGCTTGTAGCTGTGGTGACACGTGGGCCTCTGAAATAGGAACAGTGATGAGTTCACACGTTCCTTTGCTCATAACAACATTTTCAAAGGTCCCTGTTGGTACAAATGGAGGAGTCACAATAACAGGAACCATAGCAAGCATCCTTGGAGGCACAGTGATTGGGATTGCCTACTATATAACTTTACTGATGTTATTGACTATCCGTAGAATTATAGCTGTTCCGCCTCAATGGCCAATTATTTTGATTGGTTGTTTAGGAGGCTTTTTGGGATCAGCATTTGACTCTTTACTAGGAGCCACTCTTCAGTACTCAGGGTATTGTTCAGTGAAGAAATGTGTGGTTCACAAGCCATCCCCAACAGTTAAACACATATCTGGACGAGCCATCCTGGACAATCATGCTGTTAACTTTGTATCTAGTCTTCTGATAAGTGTTGTAATGCCTGTAATAGGATACTTTCTATGGAGAGGGTTGATGTAGATAACAGAATCAAATTAGTGCTGAGTGGCATACAGGGTCCTAATCTAGTGAGATATTATCATCACTATTCTTATTTAAAGTTTGGGTCATTAATTAACCCTCTACACCCTAACATTAATATGCATATTCTCCACAACTGTTCTCTATACATTTCCTAAGGTGCTGATAAGGAGAATTTTATAAACAATCAAGAACTTTATTATTTGGTGATCATTTCCCTAATTCTGCTGACCTTAAAGTGTGATTCAGGGGTGACAGAGTGGGGAGAAATTAGATGTTAGTCACTTAGTCTTAGGGATCAAAAGGTGAAAGCACAAAATTGTTATGCAGAAAGTCATACATGAAGATACAGGAACGTGCTCATTTTCCTCTAAGCCATGGAGTGTAAGACTTCAACAATTATCCAAATGGCAATTTCAAATAGCATATTGCCTCAAATAAGTGCCCTCGCTCTAATAATTGCTCCCTCCACAAAACTGCCCACCCCTTAGGCCATAAAATGAAACAACTGCCCCTCAGATAGCCACCCCTCCACCCCCACTATCTTAGATAGTAGGGATACAAGGAAAACCTGTTTCTATTGCCACCTTACTAATAAATTTGTAAGCTTCAACTACAGCAGCATCAATACAAGGTAATAGTTTCATGAGCCTTCCCCCCTTAAATAAGCACCCTCCTTCCAATATGTACACCTCCTTTCAGCTGAAATTTGAAATAAGCACAGATGACATAGGTGCTTATCTATATAGCATCCCTTTCAGCTTAGCTAGTATTATATCTCATTCAGGTCCCATTTTAAGAGATGTGAAGGACTCCATAAGAGCTAGGTGTTGAATACTTTTTCCTTTCATATGAAATTTGCAAAAGAAAGGCCCCTGTGTGGACCTGTGCTTTATACTCGTATCTTAGAGGAGTAATTCCAATAAGAACAAACAGTGATTATAGTGTGACATGGTGAAGGGATGATACTGTCAAAATTGAAGACTTTGACATTTTATTTCATCCATAGACATTATCATCTGGTGGTAAACTCTGTGGTTGGGTTGTAATAATAATAATAATTTATAGACTTATATTGTGCAATTATCAATGTAAGAATTTTCAATTGCACATTACAATTAAATGTTAAAAATTCAACCCCTACATTGATACTAAAAACTAAAAATAAATAAATAAAAATAAAAATAAAAAAAATTGTAAAAAAATTAAATAAATAAATAAAAATGATCACTACGAAAATGTAAAAATATGAAATTAGATACAAAGAATTAAAAAGCTTTGGCAAATAAAAAAGTCTTAATGGCTCCTTAAACTTGTTTGAAGATTGGGTGTTTCTAATAGAGCCCAGAGGATCGTTCCACAATTTAGGGGCAGTGGCATGGAAAGATCAATCGCTGAGCGTGGTGAGTGTTTTACCCCTGCAAGGAGCAAGGAGTAAGCTGTCATTGGAATGGAAATCATATCTTCCGGTATCTATAACAGAAATCAGCTCACTTATGTAGGCCGGGGCAAGACCATGTATTGCTTTAAGAGTAATTAAGATAATTTTAAAAACTATCTGATATTTTACAGGCAGCCAGTGTAATGATCTGAGCAGAGGTGTGATATGACAAAATCTGCTCTCCTGGAATATAAGGAGTGCAGCTGCATTCTGGACTCTCTGTAATTTGTGAAGATGGCACTTAGTAACTCCAGATAGGAGGCTGTTACAATAGTCCAAGTGGCTAGATATAAAGGCATGAATAAGTGTCTCCGTGCATTCCTTTGTTAAATATTTTCTAATGTGTTCTTGGATAAGATGGTTTACTCTTGCAATACCTCTCCCCATCCCAGAGTGATAATGGGTATCTGAAAAATACTAACTTAAAGGAAAATAGGCAAAATATCTGGTTTAGGAGGAAAGGGAAATCCACCAAAAAGAAGTGACAATATTCTCAGTTGTGTTAAGTCTAAGGAACCAGGATTGGCTGTGGCAGTCATTGGGCTCTTATCCTTACTGGTTTTTTACATTAAATAATCATCAAATTAAAAGCATTCTTTCTCTAGTGTCTATTGATTTAAATTTTTTTTATTATAAGTAATGAAATTATCCTTTGGTTAGGGACAGTTACCCAAGATAACTCACATTTATTTTATTGCATATCAGCAACAAGAACAGTTACTCTAGCACTATTTAATATTTTGTGGTATTCTTAGTTTAAAGATGATCAACCATCTATGATTGTTGTAAGTGAATATCCCAATGAAAACATTTTGAATAATTCAGTTGGTGTGAACATTTGAACATTTTTAGGAAAGTTTTAAATTTGCAGTAATGTTAAGGAATTGACAATAGACTAAATTTTAAATAATCCAAAGGTTCTTGTAACTCATTGAGGTAAAAGGTTGAAAATAATTTAAATGGAGTGTTTAAAGGTCTTTTATCTCCCAAGAAAGTCCCTTCTGATGCAGACAACAATGTTTTCATTGCATGCTGCATGAGTTGTTGAAAACCAAACAATTGAAATGGAGCTTCACACTTTTAAT